TAGGTCTTCCATTGCAAGGTCTTTGCAAGAAGTGAAGAATGGTAAAGTAAATATTTATGTTTTTACCATTTATATCAATATTACAATCAAATTGAATTAGGAATAAAATAGGAAGTTTTAGTAATAATAATAAACAAACTGGTTGAATCCTGGATTGAAAATAAATGGAGAAAAATAAAAGTAAGAGACTAGTTAGGCTGAAAACCAAGTATGTGTTAGCCACACTTACCTTCCCTCCCACTGAGAAAGGAGGTGCAATGTTTGTTTCAGCATACCTGCCTGCTCTCTGCTGTAGAGAATTAATACTGATTAGATTCCACAGCTAGTCTCTGACCTGTAACGCTCCATTTATTTTTTGGAATAGTGTCACTTTAAACAAAGCCTTGCAATGAAAAACCCTCTGTCTATCAATAAAGCCTTCTTAAAAATGGATTTTTAAAATTTTCTGCAAAGGCCACTCACCAGAGCCCTTTTCACATACTTACCATTTCACCTGCAGTACATTTAATAGGCCTACTACAGATACAGGAAATAGTGAGGGAAATCCTACAGGCAAAAATACTCAGAAATATAAAGAGATTGAGTTATAGACACAGAGTGTGTGATTAACAAATCCTGAATCAAAAACAATTTGCAGGAGATGCATTATCCCTGAGGCATCAAGTGAATGCAGTTTTTCATATGGTAGAAAACTATACTATGTAATCAGAGATACTTAAAGCCAGAAATTGCATATTTACAATAAGGAGAGAATTATTTCCTGCAGGCAAACCAGGCTTTATGCAAATTTACAGACTTTTAAATCCCTACCCACCCTCCTATGGTTCAGTAATTAGTATCTAAGCCTTAACTGAAAATCAGCATACTAACACAACTGATAACAAAAACTGAGAATATGGCAATTTTCCAATTGAAAGTTGAACACAACACATGGAAAGGGGATTGTTGTGTTCAGGAAACTGGTCATTTCCACATAATTTTTCTTTTATCATTAATGTTTAATGTTTCTAGACTGGCTGGAAAGCAGGAAATGTTTCATTGTGACAAGGAGAAGGTATCTGCAATGAGAAACTGCACCCTTAAAATCAGTTTTAAGGGATCTAAAACAAGAACTGCATTCTTAAAAACACACAAGTGCAGACTAAAAAGGACAATCTTCTCCCTTGTTAGCCTGCTTCCTTCACACCGTGAATAGCAGAACAGAGCCGTTAAAACCAGTTCTGAGGTAATAAAATATCTGGCAAATCCAAACTAAATGCAAAATCCCAGGGATTGAAGGTAGATGGTAAGATTGTTTTTAAAGAGATGTTTTGTGTCACCCATTTGTGTTTCCCGTTATTTCCAGCTTATAACAGAAATTTAGTGTGCAAATATTATGGTTTTAGCAAGAGTGTTCTGCTAATTGTAACAGTCTATGGGCTCAGCACTCTTCTAGCAATATACCCAAATACCAAGGATGCATAATGTACAAAATCTATTATATCAGAGACTTTAGGGCTGAAACATGGAAAAGGCTCAGAAACAAGCTTCTTTTATTTCATTAAACTAAGACCCCCCCAAGCTTTCAGATGAGATCTGCTAGAACAGAACTAGAACTTACCTATCACACTTTTGGCAAAAGAAGCTCTCTTTAAAGTTGCCAGGCCCAGGTCTCCTATCTTGACGGATCCTGTAGGGCCAGTGATAAAGATGTTGTCACACTTCAAATCACGATGGATAATGGGAGGAGTGCGTGTGTGCAAGAACTGCAAACCCTTGAGTATTTGCCGGCACCAGCTTCTCAGCACTTTAATTTTCATCACTTTAAATCTTTTTAAGTATCTAGGAGAGAACAACCAAATAAAAGTAAGCTTCATCTTGAAACTCATGCTGACAAGTTATACAATTACCTTATAAATATTTAACAAACAGGACATTAGAAAGCAATCTCTCATGTTCAATGAATGAATCATTAGGGGATACTGGCCAAAGACGAGAAGTTTTTTTTTTCTTTTTTGAAAGTTAAAAAACGGTGCTAAGTAGTTGGAAGCAACAGAGATTAGAAAGATTATCTTTCCCACATTTAAGTACATCAGACCCCTGAGCTAAAACATATTAAATAACTGTATATTCTTTGGGGCCATTGTATACATTATATACAACTAAAACCAATAGATTTGTCTTACTTTAAATAAAGCAAGCAGGGTTTTTTAACCAGAGTATGCCATCATTGTAACACAGCATCTCATTTAAAATATTTAATTACTTTCTCATTTCTAGCAATTAAATTTGGAGCAAAAAAAAATATGCTTATAGTTATTATATTCTCTTTGTATGCTCTGTTTACAAGAAATCAATAGAGATGCTAGCTTAGGAAAGGGTTTAGAGAAGTCATCAGTCCTAGTAGGGTAACTATAGGGCTCAAGCTTTTAAGAGAACAGAACAGCAACAGTTTTTAACAGCTAAGGATGGAAACAAAAGTACCAAAAATTTAGTAGAACTTTCTATGGTGAGTCTTGCAGAATGGGCATGGAAAGTTACTATATCAGTAGAAAATATTGAAGGAGAAATCTAAGGAACTCAATTTGATGATACTACTGAGAACAACTAGGTTAGAAGGAATAAAAGCAAAACTTTTGTACATGTCAGTTACTGACTACCCAACGCAGGGGAACTGCAGATCTTTCAGAGGCTTGAAGTAGTAATAAAATATACTGGCATCTGTCAAAGACAAATTCTGCCAAGTGTGATCCTTCCAGCAAATTCTTGTCTTGTCTTGCTGACTATGTTTTTCTTCAAAGGTGACCGGTGGTACAGTAAGATCAGCAATCCTTGACTTGATGTTAGTTAATAGGTAGGATCACCATAACTGTGCTACAAAATTCCCAATGACCACTAGATGACAGCAAAAACACATACAATTATCATTTAAAAGTCATCCAGAATTTTCCAGCCCAGATACAGTAGCTCTACAACAAGGAAATGGAAGTAGCAGGAACACCAGGGGAAAGCGACCACATAATGCTGGATTTCCTCTCACAATAAGCTAAGATTAGTGAATAATGGTAAAGAGAACAAAGAGAGTTTACAAACATGTTCAAAATAAAAGAAAGAAAAAAGAATCATTAGCTGCACAGTAAATGTAGCAAAGGATAACCATTATTTAATTCCTGTTTCAGCTCAATATTCACTAAAAGGAAGATATACATTCCACCAAAAAAATGAAAAAACTAATTCCTGAAAGGACAGAAATGAGATTGAAAATTGAAATAAACATGGTCAGGGAATGCATCTTTACTTTGAATGAGTTTAAGACTCCAGAATTAGATGAACTGCATAGGAAGATATGGCTTCTATGTGCAATTCAAGGTGCTGGAGGTTGAGTCATGGCAACTGGACTTTTCTTCTTTTGGATTGATACATTTCGCTGCTTGTCCAAGCAGCTTCTTCAATCTAGAAAGTTGGTTGGGGGGGGGCATAAATGTCTTCCAGGGTGGCTGCGTTTCTCACTAACATGGTGGACTTGTTGAGGGGACAATAAGAGATGTGATTACAATAAGAGATGTGATTACAATAGGAGATGTGATTACAATAGGAAACGTGTCACCCATTGTTGCCAACCTATACATGGAAGAAGTGGAGAAGAAAGCTCTCAGCTCTT